TGTGGACAATTCCATGCCGTTGCGCTCAGATATTAGAGAAGATTTTACAAGAGTTAAAGTATTGCTAATGGTTTTGAATAACTTTTTCAAATAAATATGAATTTGATCAAACATATTTTCACCACCAAACGTTGTCAGAAACTATGTAGATTACTTTATATTCAACTTTCTAAAAATAATGTTGCGTTTAGAACGATAAAATTAAGCAAAACAATAAAAGTGTGTACTCTTTTTAAATTCTCTGAGACTATTAATGCCGAATATTATAAATGGAGTTATTTGTAAAGCATAGGTCTTAAATATCAAAATAATACCGTTTTCAATAAAACCATTCGTTTGCGTTTAGATATTCTGTATCTATAACAAAACTGAGTACATGTATTTGTCCGAAAATGTGTCTCTACAATGTTCAATAGAAGGTATATGAAGACACTAATCTTAAACTAGTTAAATAGTTGACAAGGTGTTTTTTTGGGAAGTTGTGGAAGTAGATCTAACAATATTGTGGGAATTAGATCTAACTATATTGGGAGGTGGAAGTACGCAAATAATTTCCTCATAAGAGTACTGCAACGTCCTCAGTTGGAGAGTAAGTGAACTCAGGAGAGAAGAAATACCATGCTTACGTAAACATGTTGAACGCCAAATCAAGGAATTCTGAGATTCGGTGACTGAGGACATCACATTGCCAACATAAAAAACTGAACACTTTTTCTTTGTTCGTGGAATTAGCTTTACCACGACATAATCATCCTCCTTAACAACCAAAGATTGACACAGTGGAGCAGTCTCAGTGAGAAGATATAAATTAGATGAAGTGTTAGGGAGTTGTAAACCACTTGAAGATGATTTATCATTTGTTGAAACGCACTGCGTAGAAATAGGGTCACCACCTAAACAATTAAAAAGATGAAATATTATTAAAAATTTTAACTAAATATGTTTGATCAATTTTTGCCTTCTGTAGGAATATAAGAACTTCAAATCCGCCAACCATTTTGCTAAACTCAGGCGTGCATACAGTGTATTGGCTCTTTGCTAAACAAGCAATTGAGACAATACTTTTTTAATTTATAACGAGTTAATAGAATGATAATGATAAATTTGATTTTATTTTATTTTACCTAAATATTATATTATATTTAACTTAATTAATGTTATATGTATAAATTTTATATTAATTATTTAATATAATAATATATATATATATATATATATATATATATATATATATATATATATATATATATATATATATATATATATATATATATACAGTGGCGGCGCCAGCATTTTATGGTCTTTGAGATAGCTAACTTTTAGATATGGAGCAAACTCCAAACATTTATAAGTTTATACTTATGTAAAATAAGGATGCTTTGCAAAAAATTACGATGATTAGAGCTTGTGATCAAAAAAATCCCAAAAATTTGGCCGACACCACCCCAAACGTGAGAGCAACAAGTTGATTATGACTATATAAAATTTGCAACTCACTCAAATTGAGGGGGGTTTAAACTTTATATGGTCATAATTTTTAAACGCTGAGAGATAATACTATAAAACTTAAAATTTATCAATAAATATAAGTCTAGTTGAAAATTGTACAAAAACTATTTCATCAACTTTTTGCTTTCACGTTTGAGGCAGCGACTAGCGATTTTCTGACGATTTTTTTTTTCTTATTGAATTTTTTCCTAATGTCTTTAACATCTTTATAAATTCGATTTGTAGTGTTCATTCTATTATAATTATGAGAATAACTGAACTTTAAACAATATTGTAGCAATGTGTCACTAGCTACATATCGTAGCTATGTAGCTAGCTAAAATATATCTACAAATCTAAAGCCGGTTAGTAGCTACATATCAACATTTTTTAGACAGCGATTTTATTACGGTATGACTTAAACTAATCTAGCAAGTGGGTTTTTAGCTTATTAAGCTACCTGTCCTCGTAATCAAATCGCTGTCTTTATCTTTACAAATATCGATAGCTTTTCGCTTACTTAAAAAGGCTAGCGATCCTCGTGACTATATTGCTGTTTTTATTGTTACGATTATAGCTAGCCGATTTCCCTCCAGGATATGTGCACAGGCCCGTAGGATCAAAATTTGTATTGGATGGAGGAGGGGGTAGTGCTGGATTAAGGGGCTTGAAATTAAGAACTTTTTTTTGTTTTGTTTTTTAGTTATTTTTTTAGTCATTTTTTTAAAATTATTTATTTGAAAAATAATTGTGGGGCCAATTCCCCTCCGGTCCTCCCCATCCTCCTAGTTTCTACGGGCTTGATGCATGCGTTTATATTTGTTTATACTAAATTTTTAATAGCAATAATTTTTACTGTAATTAATGAAACAATATATTGAATAGAAGTATTTTACGCATAGACAAACTTGACGCATCAATTCAACGGTTTTACTTTAGTAAATATTTATTGTGAAGAAGCGAAGGCGAACGGTAATTAGGTGATTAGTAGTTTACAAAAGAAGACCGTTGTATTACTGTCGACATATTTTGTCAACAAGTGATACGGAAAACTTATATGCTTGCTTTTTATTTGTTAATTATTTAAAGTTTTTTAGATATTTAGGCTGCTAGATATTCAATGCAAATTAAACAACAAAATGTGTTTATAGCTTAAAAAACAATTTTAAGAATAGTTTTATTTACTTTTTTTAACTTTATAGCGCGCAAAGTTTAATTTAATACTACATCTTGCAAATCAATTTTGAAGCTATTATAGTTTTGAAGCTATTATAATTGTTATTTTAATGATACTAGAAAAATGATTTCGATAAAACTGACTTCTTTGTTTGAAAAAGTTAAAAATAAATCAACAAAACAAGTTCTTTAAAAGTACAAAAAGAAAAAAAAAAAAGGAATAATGAAGAAATATGATGCTACGTGTGCACTCTAAACTACTCTTTTAACTTGTTGTAAGGCTTTAAGTCCAAAGCTTTAAAAAAAGAACACAATATAAAAAAGTCAAAAAGGTCTATTGTATTAGCTCCAAAATCAAAAAATTCATAACTTTTTGTAGATATATAGTAATTCCATTTTGTGTTTAATTAACCATGCTTTAATCTACCTTTTTTAAAGTCCTATAAAAATTGTAAAGTTATTTAAGTAAAATACCATTAATTTAGATTTAAACTTGATATTCAGCCAAAAAAAAATTTGAAAAAAAACTCATATTTAAGTTCGGCAAAAAAATTTAAATAACGGTCAAATTTAAATTTAGCTATAACGCATAGATTGTTTAAGTTAATAAAATCTGAATATTTTAAAGGATTTGTATCACATATTTAAGGTTTTTATTTTTTAGGTTTACTAAAAAAGTGAATTTCCTTCACTCATAGGAAAAAGATAATTACAATTTTTAGTTGAACTGGTTAATATTTTAACTGAAAAAACTTGCACTTACAGGGTTATTCATTCTTATATACGCGTCTATTCATTCTTATATGCGCATTTATTCATTTTTATATGCGCCTTTATTCATTCTTATATGCGCATTTATTCACTTTTATATGCGCCTTTATTCATTCTTATATGCGCTTTTATTCATTTTTATATGCGCCTTTATTCATTCTTATATGCGCATTTATTCATTTTTATATGCGCCTTTATTCATTCTTATATGCGTTTTACAAAAGCAATTGTAAAAAAGCAATTTGAACAAAAAAAAATCATTTAAGCAATTTGTTTTAAAAAAATAGTTTATTTTTTCAAAACAAATTTTTCTTATTTCCAGGTAAACGAGGTTAAAAATACTTAAAACGAAGACTTTTTACATTCGACAATGGTTTATTTAATTTAGTATTAGTTCATTGTAATTTTATTATTAAATTTCTTGATTGATTAAGTTATTATTTATCTAATTATTCATTTATCTAGATTTAAATTTACTTATTTATAGTTATTATTAATATCAAATTATGCATCCCTATGGATGGAATAGAAAATAGCAGTACCAATCGTAAAACAAGGAAAAATGTTACAAAAGAGCACATTGAAATGCTTAAGCATTTAATTGAAAGAAATCAATCTACAACAAGCATTTCCACTTCCCTTAATTTATCGAAGCGCGCAGTTCAAAATTTTGTCGTTAAGTTAAACAGAGGATAATTCGACAATATGACTGCAGTCAAGTCGTTTTCTGATAAAAAACGAGGTAAAAGACCTATAAACTCTCAAATAAAAAATATTATAGAGTTAAGCGTACAAGAAAACAATCTTTGCACGCAAGAAGCAATAAAAAAATATCATTCTGCAGCAGGCTTTAACATGTCTCAGTCTACTAATTCAAGAAAACTCAAACGCTCAGATTTATCAAGAAAACGTGTTGTGCATGTGCCGAAGTACGAAACTCAACACCAGTTATTAATGCACGCTATGCATTTGCAAGCGAAATAAACGGAACTTCAGGTGAAAAACTTATTCATTTGGATAAAACTGAATTTAATGTGCACACTAACAGCACATATGGTTCTTTGCTAAGAGGTACGCCAGCAATTTTACAGTCACCTGCAAATCGTGGTAAGAATGTTTAATTTGTGTTTCAACAATGGGAGTGCTTGCTTATGAAATAAAAACTGGAGGCTGGGATGCAGATTCATTTTGTACTTTCATAACTACAATGATGGAACCAGCGATTAGGAATGCAAAGGTTGAAGCGCCGGTGCTTGTTATGGACAATTGTAAATTCTACTGGAGTCTTTCTATTAGGCAAACACTAGCCTCTAATGGTATAGCTATTAAGTATCATATTACATGGTATAGCTATTAAGTATTGTAGCTATTAAGTATTGATATTAATAATAATTATAAACAATTAAATTTAAATCTAGATAAATGAATAATTAGATAAATAATAACTTAATCAATCTAGAAATAGACGCGCATATAAGAATGAATAACCCTGTAATATGATAAAGTAATAGAAATTATAACAAATGCCACAACTTTTTAATATTATACACAAAAACCAGCGCACATAATAAAGATAAATTTTAATTCATTGAATCGATCAAATTAATTGGACTATCTACAAAATTATGTAATATTGTGTTTTAATTTGGGTTTAATTGATGCCATCTAGATATTGTTGAATTCGATGACATCATTGCCTTCCAATGCTCATTTCCAAACCTACCGCAACTAATTGAGGTACCAATAAAGAAGTTTCCAATAACTATAGGTTTACTAAAAGTTTTTTTTATTCGACTGAGAATCTCAATTTTAAAATCAATGCCTTCCGTTGTACGTATGTCAAGATCGGTTAATTGAAAGACGAATTCTTCATTGAAGTTGACGTGTTTTTTAGCTTGTAGCAAATCCGTCGAATATGTTTTTCTTTCAGAATGCAAATGAATTAAAGTTACTCTACCTTGAATTTCTTTATTAAATGGATCAATGTTAAGATTTTTTGCTTGACTTAAAACGACGCTAAATCGTTGAGCAGATGCAAGATAGGTTGTGTGAATGTATACTTCTGCAGAATTATGATCGTCTACCAGATTCGTACTTTGAATAACATCTTTCCGCACTATACCTTTGTCTAAAAAACACACATATATTAATATAGTAATAATATAGTTTATAAATTTATATTTTTGGAAAGTCTAAAAATAAATCTAAGTTACCAACCGCTCTGTAGATTACCTTAACTTAAATTTTTTTTAATTATTTTGAAAAAATTAAAATTAAGATTATCTAATTAGGCTGCTCTAAGATGTTCTTAAGGTATTGTCACAGTGCAGAATTCTGCTACATCACTCGGAAAAACGGTGCTGATAAGCAATCAAAAAAAAAAATCCCTCGGATTTTTTTTTTTTTTTTTTGATTGCTTATTAGCAGCGTTTGAATGCTCATTGCTCTTCATTCCGTCACCTTTTTATAAAATATAAACGATCTTGCCACCTTTTTATAAATCTCTATATATAATAATGGTTAGACGGAATAATATTTTTAAATTACCGAATATCATTCTGTTACTTTTTTTTCTCCACTTCAAGCACTGATCATAATATTAAAATAAGTTACTTTCATCCTACCTACAAAAAAGTAACAATTTTAAAATTAATTTAATTTTAAAATATTCAAAATTTATTTTTAAAATGGTGTCTTTCACAGTTAACAAAAAAAAATGCTGCTTTTTTACAATTCCTTTTATAATATATATTTTTTCTTATTTGAATTATTTTTTCTTTTATGACTACCCACAAAATTATTAAGAATAATAAAAAAAATGCTTTAAATTTTTTTAATTATAAAAAGAAATCAATTTTTCGATATGAATTTTATTGTGGCATTATTAAGATAATGCTGCACATGTAATAAATATTTCTTTTAGCAGCACAGTAAGGACAATCAGTTTTTTTAGCAGAATTTGATTATTTTGAATTTTCTGACATTGAACTTGCTGACTTTGAACTTTCTGATAACCTGCCTATATAAAAAAAAGTTCTAAAATGTATACCTTGTGTTGGAGTCAACCCATACGTTACAAAGATTTCTTCTAAAGATACTGAAACATAACCATAAGGGCTTTTTTTAGAATAAAGATCAACTGTCCATATGTTAAACTTAACGCGTAACGGAGGATCTTCAGATATTCTAGTGGACTCTAATGGAAAACGGAAACGTTGTTTGAAATTGGGATCAGGTCCGCCAACGTAATTACTATAATAGACAGAAGAATTGTTTGATAACATCAAACTGACAACAATATTTTGGTTTACGTACTTGGGCAAATTTATTCCACGAATAAGATAAACTTCGAGCTCATTTTTTCGTATATCGTAGTTAAATTGAAAGCATATTTGAGGAGCACGTATCTTTCGAGTGTTGTTTTTGTTTTCTTTGACATGGTCTTTTTTTAGACTTTTTTTTTCCAAGCTAAAATTATTTGGCGGAGTTTCAATATCTTCGTTGACAACAGTCAAATATTCAACTTCTGAAGGAACAAAGTCATCAAAAGGATCTTTTCTATAATTTACAATAGAGTTCAATAAACGGCTAGCAGGTTTATTTTTAAGAATTTTTTTTTTGCAAAGTCTTATAAGTGCAATTACTGCAATTGAAAGTAGTATTATCGCAATAAGCAACCAAGTTAAAATTTTTAAGTAAGTTATTTCAATTTTGCTTTTTAGAGATGAACTCATTTTAATCTAAAAGAAAAGTTAGCAAATCTTAAATATATGAACAGTTATAAAATAGATTACATAATAAAACGAAACAAAGAAACTAAAAAAAATTAAATAAGTTCTTTAAAAACAATAAAGGGAAGTTGGATGTCTTCTTTTTTTTTTTAAAGTGTCACCACTACTACGCGGTATTACTAAAGTTGACAGTTTAAAATATAAATTTCAATTTTTACAAGTTTAATTTTAAAATAGTTTAAAATATAAATTTCAAGTTTAAAATGTAAATTTCGAGTTTTATAAATTAAATGATAAGAATGATTTAAATTTTCATCTGTATCTAAAACATACCTAAAAAATACGTAAAACCAATATACTACAAACCGTAACCATTTCAATAAGTTTGTAAAAAAAAAGTTGTATTTATAAAAGCTTTTCTATATGATATGATGATACGGATACGTAACTATTGAAAATATCAGGAATTCTATACATTTTGCAGTATTTACTCATGAAAATATACAAGAAAGTTTTATCTAGACTTATCTAAAATTACAATGTTGACAGTCGTTGATAAAAAAAATAAACAATCAAATTTGTTTTAAATTCTGAGAAATTCAAACTTCATTCGTTAGTTTTGAGCATTTGCGAACTAATACAATAATATGCGAAATTCTATTGATCAAGGAAAGCTCAAACAAAAACATATCATATAACACACAGAACAGTTTGATTTCAATCGATCTGAAAACCTAGTAAACCTAAATAAAGTATGGATAAAAAAATTATCATTCAGATATTTTCGAATCGGTTCAATAAAATATAGTTCTAAACACCATCATAAATTTGTATCAAATTTTAAAATTAATAATTAGCTTGATTACCCTTTTTTTTTTTGTGATCGATAAAATAGAATCAAGTATGCAAAATCTTTGTTTAATATCTTCGTGTGATAAATATTATAAAATTATTCGCGATCTTAAAAAGAATTTAAAAGGAATATTCTCAAAACGTTAAGTCTTGAAAAATGTGATTAATCAAGTTAAACAACTTCCTTAGTTGAACTAAAAATATTATTGAAAATTTAATGAAAGTACCTTCGTTATTAATTACCTTACCTTCGTTATTTATTACCTTACCTTCGTTATAGTGATTTTTAAACGTTGTCTTTTCAATGTTGCCATTGTTTCTTTTATGTAGTTTTATTTACAGAAAAAAAAAAACAGTTGTGTTATAGATTTTGTTTTGTTTTGCATATGGTTTCTTGACAATTTTTCTTCTTTTTACATTCTTGTTGAATTCCTTCTCAAATACATCTTTTATTGGCGTCCCATCAAGTTTTTACCGAGTGGTTGTAAAGTTCTTACTAAAAGGTAAAATGTTTAGAAGATCTACCAATCGACTTTTAGCTTCTAGTCAAATGTTTTCGAAACAATTACAAAAATAATAATTAACGACCAAAAGTATTACATGGACGTATGTATATGTATATGGTACGTATATGGTCGTTTAATTAAAAACAAATTATTTTATGAACTACTAATGACCTAAACTATCCTATTTCACACAATAACTAAACTTTATTATCCCACCCAATTAATAACTAACCGAAATTAATAAATTAATAAATAACCTAACAAAAAAAAATGTTGACTAGTTTATTTTTTTTAATTATGATAAATGTAAAGCTAACAATGTTAAACTTAATGATAAAAACAGTTTATAAAAATGTATAATAACAATAATTTATTAATGTAAAATAATTTAAATTAATATTAATATAAAATATTACTAAGTAATTGATAAGTAACAAGTGTTATATATACGAATGATGTGTTGATTTCTTGGTATATCAAAGTTATTGGTTTTAAGTAATACCAAATTGTGCACTAGTCTTTAAAGACTTAATTACTTTATACTTTAACTTATAAATAATTTTTACAATAAACAACTATTTCTTCAGAGACTAACTCGTTTGAAGATCACCTAAAAATAAGTAATATTGGAAATATACACAATTAAAATGCGGCAATCGCGTAATAGCTTTTGATTTAGTATCATTAAGAAATATAAAAAGAGTTATTGTTTAACACAAAATTAATTTGCCGACGTAAATAATGATGAGTCAAGTAATTAGTATTGATTAATTTAGGTTTGCAAGTAATTATTGGTTGGTCAAAAGCTATAACCATAATTAGATTTTTTAATTTAAATATTATTTAATCAAAATTTAATAGTTATTTAGACAAAATCACTAATAATTCATCCTATCCTGCTCCAAGTAATAAGAGGTCGCTATGGAATTCAATTGGTTATAAATACTTTCATTATATAAAAGTGTTACATTGCAAGAAAACTGTACAAACAATGTTTACTTACATTTTGGTCCAGTATTGTAATACTTTCTAAAATTTATATCGCAATGCGCAGAGCAAAGAATAAAGGCTGAACCCCGCTTTCTATACCAGCAATAGTATAGAAAGCGGGGTTCAATAAACCATATTTTAAGACCTTTAAATAATGTCGTTTTAGAATATTACAAAACTCAAGTTTAGTGTTTATGCTATGAGGGAATTTATAGATATATTAACTGTTTCTGGTTGGCTTATCATTACGTAACAATTGGACTACACAAAAAATGGATACTCATTACAAAAATATAGCGAAAGCAAGTCATCAAATCCTCAGCCACTTTCAGGGTCAAATATATTTGATCAAATACAAATACAAATACGTTATTTTTAGTTTTCCAAATACAAAATTAAATACTAATTCAATCCAAAATACAAAGTCAAATATATGTAATCGGTATTTCCCAAATACGAATAATTTTTTTTAGGTTTAGAAAAAATATTTGTATGTAATAAAAATTAGTTTGCATCGCAAATTAATTTTTATTAATTTCAGTTATATAAAACTTTTCTTACAACTAACCACACTTCCTCGCCGACAATGTACGTTCTGTTTGCGTCCTGAACGTTATACTCAATTCAACCATGAAAGCATAAAACAGATGGAACTGCATTGAAATTCTTCGGGACTATGCTCGTAACCTTTTGTTTTGTAAATAATAAGAAAACAACATCAAGGCTGTACTTAAACGCCTAATCTTTATACGTTGACGCAAATAAGTTCGTTTAAGATAATTTAAAAATAAAGGTTCGCCAATAATATTCAAGAAAGATATTAAAAATGGCGCAACAAAACGGCAAACAACAACTTTTTTATAAGCTTCATATTAAATGAATGCAGTACTACAAGAATGAATGGAATTATGGTATACAGCTAATAAAACTTTAAACTTTAAGCAATTTTTGTGATTTTTTAAAAATTGTTTTAGTTGTCTTTTTTATCAAATGTCGTGTTATGACTTGAAGCAAGAAAAGAAGCTTAAACTAACATATGCTTTTAAAATCACGTGTTTCTATTTAATTGCCGAGTTTTAATAAACCTTTTGCTGAATAATTGCAATTACTAATGGATACCTAGACTAATTCATTTTTTAATGTTTTAATAAAGATCATTTCAGTGAATTTTGTTGTTTTTTAATCCAGTGAAACTTGTTTTTTTTTATTGTCGGTTACAAATATACTCCTGCGACGACTTGAAATTACTTTGATGTTTGCGGCTCAATGAACATTTTTTTTATACTTCCATGATTCAACTAAGGCATCGTACATATTTTTCCAAACAAAAATTTAAGTTTTTTTTATTAATTACAATATGTGTAAGTTTTTTTATTAAAAAGTATGACATATTTGGTGGAAATATATTTTTCATATATGATATATTTGGATGGAAAGATTGTTTTAACCACTATAATAATCTGGTGAAAGTAATACGACGAATCGTCAAATGTAGTTTTATTTAGAAAAGATGCAATTTTCAACATAAAGTACCTTGGGGCTTGGCAAAGATAATTATTTGGCTATTGATGTTTGTTTTCAATGAATGTAACTTGACATTTCTAATCAGACATTTTTTTGGGGAAAATTATCCATGAAAAACCATTTTTTATGAAAATTGAAGTTACTATTTTCAATACAACACCTAAATGAGTATGTTTAACAATAATGTCACGTTAGATTTAGATAACCTATGGTAGTGTTAATTATTCTACCTAAGTCGTTTTTGCATAAATGACCATAACTTTTGGCGCAATTTAAAAAACTGTTTTTAGCATTTAGTATCATTTTTTGAAATACTCGGGACTTATTCGACCATCTTGAAATAGTAAATTATTCTAATCAGAATGCGTAAACAATTAAAAAACGAGGCGGTAAACTTTATAAATAAATTACTTTCAATTCGAATTCTTTGTTTGCATAAATTAAATACCAATAAATAAAGTTTTTCGGTTTGCCACTAAAAACCAATCACATTTGTTTTATATTATCGGCTTCTTTTTTTAACGAGTTTGTTTGTTCTATGCCTTAGTTGCATTGAGTAGACCATTTTAGAACCAAAATAATTTTTTTTTGTCAGCGCGGAAAGTTAAAAAGACTTCTGCATTACATTCGGAAGTGTGCCGTTTTATAATGAAAGGCAGTTCAAACAAATATGTAAACTAAAACTAAAATTTTGTTTTATAATTATCGATCAAAAATATTCAGTTACATAGTTAACTTTTTGTAAATATTTTTTTAGGAGGTTGTTAAATATGCGCGCCCTTTTTTATTTTATCTCAAAATAACTTTGAAATCTTAAAAACAATAACTAACGATTTTATAAAGAGTTCTTTAAAATAGGTTATGAGTTTTAATTACTACTAGCAGTAAGCAACCCGTAATACGCGTTGTTAGTAAATAAAATTAAAAAAAAAACCGCGTATAGAAAAGCCTAGAAACTACTACTAGAAAAGCCTAGAAAATGACGTAACTCGACTAATAATAATAATATTAAATTAGCGTATTCATATTATCAGATTACATTAATAGATTAATTCTTAAATTTTTTTCAACAAATTTGATTTATGTTTAGTTTTAGTACATATGAAATAATAAATTAAAAAATATATATCTTTTTTAAATTTTGGACTAAAATTTTTTATGTTCAGTTCGTTAGTTATTATTTTTAAGATTTCAAAGTTATTTTGAGATAAAATAAAAAAGGGCGCGCACATTTAACAACCTTCTAAAAAAATATCTACAAAAAGTTATCTATGTGACTGAATATTTTTGATCGATAATTATAAAACAAAATTTTAATTTTAGTTTACATATTTGTCTGAACTGCCTTTCATTATAAAACGGCACACTTCCGAATGTAATGCAGAAGTCTTCTGAACGTTCCGCTCTGAAAAAAAAAAATTATTTTGGTTCTAAAAAGGTCTACTCAACGCAACTAAGGCATAGAACAAACAAACTCGTTAAAAAAGAAGCCGATAATATAAAACAAATGTGATTGGTTTTTAGTGGCAAACCGAAAAACTTTATTTATTGGTATTTAATTTATGCAAACAAAGAATTCGAATTGAAAGTAATTTATTTATAAAGTTTACCGCCTCTGTTTTTATGAAATAATAAATTTAAAATATATATCTTTTTCAAATTTTGGTTCATATAGATAGTTTTATCAAAAACTAAAATACAGCTTAAATATAACTATCTAAATAAACTGTAAATAAAAACGTGTTGCCCAAAGTTTGTAAAAAGCTTAAATTAACAATGGGGCCATCCATAAAGGGCGTCAAACTAATAGGGAGGGGGAGAGGGGAAGGTGATCGAAATAAAAAGGACAAATAAGAACAAGTGGGGAGAGGAAAATTATAAGAAAAGGACGTCATGTTATTGAAATTTTTTATTTAGTTTTAATAACATGGAAAACTATATAAACATGTGTTTTTATAATCGCAGTTAAAGAAAAAATATTCCTGTTAATATTTGTTTAAATTTTATTTTCATATATATATATATATATATATATATATATATATATATATATATATATATATATATATATATATATATATATATATATATATATATATATTTTTTTTTTTTTTTTTTTTTTTTCTTTTTCTTCGCCAAAAGTTGCGTTTGCACCTGTTCTTTGTTTTTAGTTTTCTGAACAATAAGCTAAATTTTTGCGCTCTGACACAAACTATATTAGTAAATTATATATCCATATATTATATATAAAATACATATAAAAAAGTTATATATAAACATATACAAATAATATAAAGAAATTAAATTGTTTGTTTAAAATAAGTTATTTGTCATAATTGTAACAAATAAATTTGCAATAATTGTAACAAATAAATAAACATAAAAACATCACTGATATAAAAAAAAAAAAAAAAAAAAAATTCATCTGTGATGACT